AATTTCTTTGTTACTTGCATTACCAAATTGTAAAGAAAAGGATGAAGAAGAAGGAAAGAAAAAAGAAAATTTTCTTTTTTGCTGTTGTCATTAGGGAGATTAACTTATTCTTTAGCAATTTTCATTAAACTGTCACTAGCACTGCAAGGCTATGCATACAAACAAGTCTAACTGAACACAGCCGAACAGCCTAATGCAACTTTTCAATTGTCATAGACTAGAATCTAGTATGACTGTGCGCATCAGTCACGCAGGAAGTGCAGGATCATGTGATTGGTTAAACACAGTGCTAGAACATATTTTTAATTTTACTATTATTTAGTTTATTTTATTTTACTATTATTTTTTTTTTTTTTGGCTATTTTATTAGTATTTTACTCAGTTTTGTTTCTTATTTTTTTAATTCTTTTATAATTTTAATGGTTAAAATGTGTGTGGGGATGCTAAAAGATACAAAATCCAGATAAGTATGAAAAGAGTAGTTAGTAATGAAGATTTAAAATCTCGTACAAAATTTCAAAAGACATAAAGAAAGAGGTTCAAAAAAGATTAGTTGTTACAGTAAAAGTTATTTATCAGTGGGCTTTACATGAATTGGGGATCCAGAATATCCTCTTCCATTGTGCCTCGTTCATGGTAAAAAAACCCTGAAATACAGCAATTGCTCCAAAAAAACTGAACAGACATTTCATGACAAATCTTACCAGTATGAAAAATAACTGTTGATTACTTTAAAACTCTGTTAAAAATCTCAAAATAAACACAATACAGCTTTTACAAACATGTTAACAGATAGTGAAAAGGTTCAGGCGATAAGTTATTTGGTAGCAGAATTTATTGCATAGAAAAGTCACACAATTGGTGGGAATCTGATAATGGCAACATGTAAAATTATAGTGGGTGAAATGTTGGAAGAAGATATAATACAGAAAACGAAAATTATGTCACTTTCAAATTATACAGTAAGTCAATGAATCAATGATATGTCACATGATGGTAAACTGACGTTTTGTGCAATAAGTTGAAATATGGCAATATTACAATTCAGTGGACAAGTTGACAGATTAAACCAACAAATGTTATATTCCAACATTTGTGATATTTGTTAATGAGGGAGAAATTCAAGAAAACTTTGTCTGCTGTAATTAATTACTTGAGACAAGAAGAGAAATAGATCAATTTAAAATTTGTCAGCATATCTGGGAAAAAACATGTTTCCTGGAAGAACTGTATTGGCACAGATGGTACTACCTCAATGATTTACTCCATCAATGGCATTTTACTCTTACAAAAAAAAAAAAAAAAAAAAAAAAAATTGCTAATGTTGTTTCCATACACTGCTTTATAAAGAAGTGCTCATTAAAATCTCCTAGTAATGATCTACAAAAGGTATTTGATAAAGTTATAAAAATGGTAAACCTTATTAAACAAAGCCAATTTTTAAGATGCTCTATGAAAACGTGGATTAAAGAGCACACAAACCTGTTGTTACATACTGAAATCTAGTGGTTAAGTAATGGCAGAGTTTTTAACAGGGTTTTTGAGCTAAAGAAAGACATGCATGTACACTGTGCAAAAAAAAAGGGGGGAGACAGTTTTGTTTCTCCCGTTTTACTTGGCCAATTGACGAAAATTAGCTTGAGTTTTTCATGTCTCGAAAGCACAACTTAGGATATGTATTAGATTTATATACAGCATTGTTCTAATATAGGTATTTTGACAGAAAAATCGGACTTTTTCAGAAATAACACCAATTTTTTTTCCATATTTCCATTCTACGACTCAAATCACGCCAAACTACCAAGTTTTGTAAAAATTGCACGAGTAGTTTTTAAAAAATTAGCTGTCAAAATTTTAGCTCCTCAATGTTAATTGAGTTTGGTATATATTTATTAATGTCTCTTTTTTTATTACACTTATTTGGTTCTTCCTTTCACATTTCAAAATTCAGATTCATTCCAAATAAAATTCACCCAATTTTTTTTTATTTATTTTTAAAATTTTTACCAGTCTTAAAGTAGACATATTTCTAAGCATACCTGCAAAAAAATTACAGTCTTTTATTCAAAATTTCCGAAGATACACGCGAATTTATATATTGGCACGTTTTGAAATTTGACATATTTTTTGAAAGTAATAAAACATCAGATGTGGTTTAGGCACTTCGCTAAAATTATTTGAAAGTATGAGCGATATAACTTTTTTTAACTAAAAGTGAAGATGGATAGTGTGGCAATCTAATGTTTGACTGCGTGCGCAGCTAATCCACGTCATGTGGTTTATGTAAAAACTGCTAGCACGGCAGTGAACTTGCTCACTTCGCCCTTAGCTGCAGCATAGAATGTTTGAATTCTAGTTTAGTGGTTTTTGTTATTTGTTCTGTTATTTCAGTTGTGTTTAAAGTTATGGTGTGTGTGAATAAAAGTTATGTTTAAAGAAAAGGAGTCATGTCAATTCAAGGATATACACCAAGACATAACCACCACGCCATCATAAAATGGTGACCTAGCGTCAACGACCATAAAATGGCAATCCGGCTACTCGCATGAAGCTTATACTGGTTGTTCGTTCAAGAGCTTGGTTCCAGAACTTTCGTGTTTTTCCCTTCAGCCACTGACATGGAGGAAACAGCAGTCGTAAAGATTCCAATTTACAATCCGACTAACCCGGCATTGTGATTTGCTATGTGTGAAGCAACTTTTGCTTTAGCCGCAACCAAGCCCATTATGGATTCGAAGACAAAATTTAACTACTGTGTAGCTCATTTGCCGCCGGAAATTGCTGCATTGGTTAGAGATATCATTCTCCGGGAACATACAGATGCTTCTTACGAAGACCTCAAAGCTGCTATTACGGAACGCTGTGGTGAAAGCAGTACAAGTGAAATACGGAAATTACTCGCTGGCTAGCAACTTGGAGATAGAAAGCCATCAGAACTTCTATGAGTAATGACTAGGCGGGCTGAAAAATACAATGTGTCTGACTCTTTGTTACTGTAATTATTCATTCACCAGATGCCGCCACATGTTCAGTCTATTCTAGCGTTGGTTGAGCTGCTCGATTAATTGAAAGCCGCCAGTATCGCGGATAGAATATTAGAAGTTACACCCGCTTAGGTAAGCAAAGTTTCTTTTCGTGTACCTCTCAATGTCTCTGAGTATTCTAAATTGGATTCCCTGCTGGAGAAAGTGTGCAAATTGCGTAGTGAGGTTTTGTCTCTACGAGGATCACGCAATACTTCCAAAAATTGCTATAACAGGAAGCGAAGCCCTTCAGCTAAAGCTGCTTCGAACCGTTCCTATTGTTGGTATCATCAGAAATTCAGTGACAAAGCTAAAAAGTGTGTTCCACCATGTACATTCCAGGAAAACGTAACAGGGAAAGCGTAGTGGCGAGATGCACTTTACCCTCTGAATCTCATCGCCTTTTCATTAGAGACAGAAAATCTAATAGAATATTTTTGTGTGACACTGGCTTTGCCCTTAGCTGCAGCATAGGATGTTTGAATTTTAGTTTAGCGGTTTTTGTTATTTGTTCTGTTATTTCAGTTATGTTTAAAGTTATGGTGTGTGTGAATAAAAGTTATGTTTAAAGAAAAGGAGTCATGTCAATTCAAGGATATATACCAAGACATAACCACCATGCCACCATAATAGCAACAAACTTTAAATTGTACTGTAGCCCACACAGAGGAGGCTATCGAAGAAAATTGATCGTATTTTTCATCCCTGTCAACAGAACTATATGACTGGGTGAGGAATCCATTCTCTCACACTTCCATTTGTCCTCAGAACCTAACTTTGAAAGAAGAACTTTGCGACTTACAATGGGATGGTTCATTGTAAATGAGATTTAATGACACTGTTTGGGGCAAATTCTGGATTTCTATTGAAAGTTAGTATCCAACAGTTCACAGAAAAGCAATTATTATATTACTGTAGTTTGCAAAATCGTACATCTGTGAACAAGCTTTTGCTTATTTAACAAGTATTAAGACTGAAGAAAAGAAACTGTCTTTCTAAGGAAGAAGAAATCCAAATATGTATATCACAAATCAGACCCCAAATTCAACATTTATGTTCCCCTAAAAAAAAGATAAATTTCACATTAATATTTGTTATAAACTGTTATACTACAGAAGTTTATTATTTACCTTAATTAAATTATATTTAGAATTATACCAATTGCATGTAGTTGCAATTTTTTTTAAATAAACAACTAAAGTATAGTAATGTTTTCCCCATCAATAATCATTAAGACAACTATTACAAAAAAAATATTGTTACATAGAAGTTAAGCTTCCTTAGAACTTGAATAGTGTCACAAATGATTCCATAACCATTTGTGACACTATTCAAGTTCTCTTGATTCAAGTTTATTTGTGACACTATTCAAGTGAAAACTCTTATGGTTCCATAACCATAAGAAAGAGTGAAAACTCTTATGGTTATGGAACCTAAGAGTGAAAAGGTTAGAAAAAACTGCAATAAAACTGCAAAACTGCAATGGTATTATAAACAAAGGTTATAATATCGTTATCAAATTTGAGTGAAAAATCGTATTATATATAAACTGTCAGTTTATGGTCTTATTTGAAATCCTAGTGCAGATTTCCATTAAGAATATCAGCTTTCTTATTTTGATTCCATAATAGCTTTACAACATACAGGTATCACAACACTCTTTTAAACCTCTGAGCGTCCGGGTTTTTGGATCTATCATGAAGACCTTTATAAGCTAAATATGTACATTTACCTATTTTAGTTTCTATTTTCATGAACTTCCATTCATCAAAATGCCATTTATATTATTAATGAAAGTAAGAAAGCAAAATATCTTAAATTATAAGCTATATCACAAGAGACAAAAAATCTCATGACCGGATAAAGCCAGTCATGGCGCTCAGAGGGTTAATACAACAAAAGTAAATTATAAATTACAACTTACTACTTTTTTCACACAAAAAAAAAAGGTGTTTAAAAAATGTCTTAGTCACTTACTTGAGGTGTAGGACAACCAGTGAAGACAACACTTGGCCTCGCACATTTCATGAGATCAAAGAAAAAAAGAAATTTTTTATCCCTAAAATATATTAAATCTAATTTTAATAATCCCATTCAATACACACAATAAATAACTTATCAATATTTTTAATTAAAAAATGTGGTACTTACATATTATCCAGTAAACTGTGAAACCATCATCAAACAGTGCAATTTAGCATCAATTGTGGATAAGCGTGACATAACCAATGCACTAAAAATATCCACACTTTTTTTTTTTTAAGTAAACTTGATTGGCTCTCGATAAGCCACCTCATGTTTTTATAAACAGGATATAAATTAGCTGTTATTGTTGCATTTTTCCTTGCATTTTGAAAGCATGATTAAAATTGGAATCTGCCAAATTTTAATCATATTTTCAAAATCAATCAAGTTCCAAATTTTAATCATGCTTTTACAGAAAAACAAGCAGTGGATTATTTTCAAAGTTATAGCATCCTACCATAAAATTTTTTTATTAATGGACATGATATGGTCAGGTGAATAAAGTCAACAAAATAGTAATATATTAGATCAATTACCTGCAGGAAGTTTGTACTCATAGCATTCTAAACTGAGTTTCCAGTAAAATCAGAGGGTCTAACAAAATAGTAGAAATCAATAAAAGGCTTTTTTAAAAAAGCACAAAAAAATGGGGTCAAATATTGGTTGTTTACTAATAAACAGGCATCCATTCCTTCATAATTTCATACAAATGATTAGGGCAACTTTGACGGTTTGTTGACAGCCAACTTTTATGGTCAACTGGATAATATGCAAATACCAAAACTACATATTAGCAAAATAATAAAAGACAACATTCAAGAACTAGTGGAAAAATATTAAATGACATGATCTGTTATGTGTAAAGCACATCAAAAATATTGTATCTGATTTATGAAATTATTTTAAAAATATAAAATTTATGTAAGTATGATAAAAAACTAGAAAATATCTAACATTTTGGATAGAATGTTCTGCACAACTTCATCAGTCTCTGGTTGTAATAAATCTGTGATATATACACATATGTTAACATTAACCTTCAGATATTTTAAAATAGCCTACATTTTCATTATAATTTTTCTTATTTCTCAAAAATATTTGTTGATAATATGCCACTTCAAACATCTACAGACTACTGTATTTCTTAATTACCACCGACTAAATTATGTTTAGCATATTAATTAGTTTTTGATGTTTGATAATGATGTTTATTAAATACGAAAGAATATTAAGGAAACTTAAAATATTCAAAGTGACTATGCTTCATGCAAATCAATACGAAAGCATCATCAAAGACAAAGAAAATTATAAAATCTTTGTCACGTACAAATAGTTGCAGATGAATGAATAGTGCCAAATATTGACTGAATAGCATATTTGTACTATTTCAGCATTCTTATTCAAAGTTCTCCAAGTACAGTCTTTTTAAGTACTAAGTACAATCTTAAACATTCGAGAAAAGAAAGTGATATTTCTATGCACATTTGATAGCAAATTATACTGATAAGCTGAAAGTGTAGAGAAAACAAAAAACAAATATATATATATAATTTAAAATCTCAGTTACGGTAAGAGTATTTTAAATTAATGCAAATATGTCTCTAGAATTTTATACAGCTACTAGTGGCCGAATGGATAAAATGGATAAGACCACTGAACATTGATAATTTAAAAGGATTCAAACCATGGCTGCATGGAAATTTCAAGACTCTTATAATGTGTAATATGAATATGAGTCAGTTTCCCACAAAACTTCCAAAAAACAAAAGAATCATGCCCCTCAGTCACATGACACTGATGTGCTTTAATCATCCAAATAATCCAGACAAACTAAATCACAGTATATTTATTTTTATCCTTTTAATTGCATCATGTTTTGTGGTAAATAAATATTAATTTTTTAATGAACAAAATTTAACTTTCAGAAATCTTGTCACAATCATTAATTATTCAAACAGTTTAAAAACTCTTATATGATACAAAAAAGAAAATTTCTTTAAATGACATTTAATGTATAACTTTAACTCTTTTGTCAGTATATTTTGTAAATACACAGTTAAAAACATATTCGTACTCTTCTGTTATAGGGACCAGATTTAAAAATGTACGTATACACATGTGTATGTACATACATATATGTGTGTATATATGCACATACATACATATGTACACCGTGCAAAAAAAGGAAGGGACAGTTCTGCATCTCCTGTTTTACTGGACCAATTGACGAAATTCAACTTGCATATTTCATGTCTCAAAAGTGCGACTTAGAATATGTATTAGATTTATATATAACATTATTCTAATACAGGCATTTTGACACAAAATCGGACTTTTTCTGAAATAACATACCAATTTTTTTCCATATTTCCATTCTACGACTCAAATTATGCCAAAATACCAAGTTTTGTAAAAATCGCACGAGTAGTTTTTAAAAAATTAGCTCTCAAAACTTTAGTTCCTCAATGTTAATTGAGTTTGGTATATATTTATTAATCTCTCTTTTTTTATTAAACTTATTTGATTCTTTCTTTCACATTTCGAAATTCAGGTTCATTCCAAATAAAATTCATCCATTTTTTTATGATTTATTTTTAAATTTGTATTTTTAAATAATTTTTATATATTTTTGAAAAAAAAATTTGAATTATAATCTATAAAATTTTTACTATCAGCTTAAAGTAGACGTTCTAAGCATACCTACAAAAACTTAGTTTTTTATTCAAAATTTCTGAATATATACGTGAATTTATATATTGGCATGTTTTGAAATTTGGCATATTTGTTGAAAACTATAAAAACTATAAAACATCAAATGTGGTTTAGACACTTTGCTAAAATTATTTGAAAGTAAGAACGATGTGACATTTTTTCCGCTCATGAGCAATGTAAAAAGGTAGGAACGAGGTGCCTTTTTTTCCGCTCCAGCATAATGGAAAGGAAAATTGGTTGCCATATATTAAGAAGTGCGGCAAGTGAATTATTCTTGGTGCAAACAGGAAAATAATGCCAAGATAAATTTTTTAATTTCTCCATAAATTTCACACCAAATTTTACAAAGTTTAATATCTAGGCATAATTTGAGTCGTAGAATGGAAATATGGAAAAAAATTGGTATGTTATTTCAGAGTCCGATTTTGTGTGAAAATACCTATGTTAGAACAATGTTATATAGAAATCTAATATATATCCTAAGTTGCGCTTTCAAGACATGAAAAGAGCAATTTGAATTTTGTCAATCAGCCCAGTAGAATGGGAGATACTGAACTGACCCCCCTTTTTTTGTGCATACCGTATTTGACGGCATATAAGATGCACTGGCATATAAGATGCACCCTTATTTAGACGGCCACACACAAGGAAAAAAGTTTCAATAGTGTGGTTTCTTTTAGTTCTCACGTTTCGTAAAGGCCAAATAAACAATTATTGAATGTAATTACTTTCACGTATAAGACGCAGGTAACTTTTTTGAGACCAAATTTAGGAAAAAAGTGTGTCTTATATGTCGTCAAATACGGTATATACATGCATAAATGAACACATTCATCCATACATTTCTAAACCCGGTCCAAATAACAAAACAGTACTAGAATTTCTGAGCATAATAAATAACTACAAATTAGAAATTTTCTTGAATTATTTCTTTTCAGTTCTGAAGATAAAAGCTATAATCACATGTTTTGCTGTGAAAGCCACAGAAAAAATGCGTGCAGTAGGAAAGTTTAAAAAAGAAAAAATAAAACTGCAACTGCATCTCATTCTTAGAGATGCATCTCATTCTTAGAAATATTTTACGTGCCAGGGAAAAAGTATGCCGAACCGTGGTATATGCACCTCCTTCTCTTTTTTATTTAATTTTTTGGTTAATCGTTACAGTTCTGCTTGGATCGTTGATTTTTTTATGCCAAGATCAGCACCATGAAGGATCAGCACCAATCCTTTTTGACGCCAACATCAGCAACATGAAGGATCACCGCCAATTTCAAAATGGGGCTGATCCTTCCACCCCCTACAAAAAATCAAAACAAGAAATCAAATTTACACAAACTGGGAGTCCATGTACACATTGGCCTATTTTAACTTGAAAAAAAAAAAAATCTGAGAATTTCACAAACTAGGCATCGCTCACTAATTTAACTTTATTGATGTACACATTGACCTATTTTAACTTTAAAAAAAATCAGAGAATTGCACAAATTAGGCACTGTGCACTAATTTCACTTTCTCCATGTACACATCGATCTATTTTTACTTGAACAAAATCAGAAAGCTACAACAAAGTTAAAACTATCATATTAACCAGAAAAAATTTGCTGCTGTCTTAACACACAGACATGAACAAATAACCAAAAATATACAAACACAGAGTAATAAATAACCAAAAATACATATTTCCTAACATACAACATAAAACAACGAATCTTTCAACAAAAATTAACACACAGACACCAATAAATAAATAAAACATTAATACTTTAACATATTTATTTTCCTCCTGCCTAAGGATCCTGCATCACTTTCATGAAACATTACACACATGCAATCAAACACAGCAATTGAAAATCTTCAGTCCACACGTTAAAAAAATAACAAAAATCTTAGCTTATCACAACACATTTGGCAATCTTTGCAGTTTTCCCTAAAACTAGTTTTGCCAACATTATCAACATTAGGGTTACCAAAAAATCCTACTTCACACAGCAGGCTTCCAGATTTCATGAACAATCAATACCATTTGGTGATTTTTTCAGACAGAAACCAAGTGGGACCATACAGTAAATTTCAACCATTTTTTTTTAATAGTTATTTGAATACAGTACTTATCCGAACTCGTCGGGACTTCAGCGATTCCGGATTAGAGGTTTTTCCAGATTATAGATCACCAATTTAAATCTGGTAAGATGTCATGCAGAAATTATAAAATTAAAAATATGAAACCATAATTTATAAAATAAAGAGCAATTATGATCTAAAGGGTATCAAAATTTACAAAAAAAAAAAAAAAAAAAAAAAAGCTTAATATTTATTTGTTTACTTTATTAAACATTTCTTTTAATGTAAGTTGTTTAAGTTGCTTCGTTTTATGTGCCAATACTTTCTCTTTAATTCTATAAAAAGACATAATTTCCTGTTCAGTTACAAAGTTCCGCTGCTCAAGTCCTGTAATTGCTGTGCCGAGAATACCGACTAACTTGTCAATCGAAATTTTTTCATTTTCACAAACCTCTGTTACTTTATCCATTTTTTGCAGCAATTCCAATTTTTGTTTGATGGACATCGAAACATGCTTTCGCTTTGTAAATCCTTTCGTAGCTCCAGAATTGGAAACTTTTTTTGACATAATCAAAAGTTCAAGCTTACTTTTTATAAAATTGCTCCAACAGTCTGCAGAAAATAATAAACCGGATCCAATTAGAAGATTAAGGAACAACGCAATCTGCAACATTAACTGAAATAGATAATTAGATAATTTTAGCCTAGCTTATACCATCCGTTATACATTAAACGTGCATGTGTAAACGCATATGCGCATATGTAAAGGTATTATGCACATGCGTAAACACTATGCATGCGCAGAAAGTTTGTAGCTTTGAGGTCCGTATTATGGACGTCCGGATTAAAGACATTGTACTGCACTTTTCTCCCTATATACAATAGCTGAATTATATCCTACTATGTTCATAAGAAATAAATACATCTATACATTTAATTGTATAAACTTCCCCCCCTTCTGTAATTTACATTACCTAAATTAAAATTTCATAATAAGTCTTTTTCCTTACTCTAAATCTCCAGTGCCACAAATATGTCCTTCTGAATCTGTTGGATATAACAAGAGTCTTGGATCACCTTCTCGAAATGCTAGAAGATTACGAAATCCATTTAGATTATTCTATGTATTATTGTTTGTTATAAAAACAGTAAAATTATCCTAATAATTTTTAATTATTACAAAATAATAATTATTATTTTTAATTATTATAAAATAATAATAATTTTAAAAAACAGTAAAAGACTTATATCATTTTTTAAGATAACAATAACAGATAGTAAGAAAATTGTTTTTCGACTGTTTGTTTTGACAGTAGCAAACAGCTGAAAAAAATTTAAGACTAGCAAAAAAGGAAATTAAAAAGATGGATTACAGCCTGAAACTAAAACATCCCAAAAATTAATAATAAAAAAATTATTTGTAACCAAGACAACCAATGTTCAAAAGGCAGATTTTTCCAAACAATCGCAATGCATAATTGGTTAGAAATTGCTAAAGATATCAAGAAAACCTCGAAATTTTGGGGTCTCAGACTTCAAATATAAGCAAGTAGAAATGTATGTATAGTGCCTAGAATTACTTTACTGTAAAGTATTAATCTCAAAATAAAGTATAATTGCATTAAATATCAGCACTTTTTACTCATAACTAAATATTTTATAGCACACTGTTCTTTCATAAAACAGCTACCAGACTTTATTTGTATTTATAATTTTATGCATTTTTAAATTTATTTCTTTACTACACTGAAAATTTGGGGAATATGTTTAAACTAAGTTTCACAATATGAGGAATTTATTTAAAAAGACAAAAAGATACCTGATAGTCTTACAAAGAAAATCTGCCAACCTTGAGCTCCAGTTTTTTTTTTTTTTTTTTTTTTTTTTTTTTAAAAACATAACGAACAATGTCAATTAAAATTGACACATTCCTACAGATAAGCCCAGAAAAAAAAGAAAAAAAAAAAAAAACTAAATTTGAAAATTTTGATAGCCAAAGGCAAATTTTCAAACAAAATTTGATATCATTTTGAAATTCTAGTAAGTCACCAAATAACAGTGCATTGCTATGCAAATTTACATTACTTTAAAGGTACTTCTTTTTTTAATTTTACTGAGAAAAGAACAAGAGCTTCTACGAGAGCAGAAACTATTTCCAATTTTTTAATACTGCTAATATATTAATGCAATTTACAGTTTTCTAATTGAGGCAAACAATTTCACTACTTTACTACAGTCACTTTTCAATGCTTCACTAAAATTTGTAACTTTGAAGTAAAATCATCGTTTTGATCTTTCTTCACTGTATTTTACAATTAATCTCTTATCCTTATATGTATGATACATTTCGCCTGTAATGAGCATACTGATTGTCACATGAAAATATATCATCTGCAAAGTGCAAACCTACAACATGAAGCATGTTCCTAGTGAGAAAAAAAATTTCCAGAGCTTAATGACCTTATAAGGAAGCTTTATTGGTTAACATAAATTTTGGTTAGCATGAATTAACAAAGCTTTGTTGGTCAATATAAATTTTGGTTGGCATGAATTAAGAACCGTTTTTGAGTCCGTTGCATCATTAGATTTTTATCATTCAACAGGAACTTCAAGAGTATTTCATATTTGATAATAGATAAAATACCGTATTTGATGGCATATAAGACGCACTTTTTTTCCTAAATTTGGTCTCAAAATAGTTACCTGTGTCTTATACATGAAGGACACAGGTTAACTTTCAATACTGAATGCTATTTTTAGCCCGAATAAAGGTCTAGACACACATAACGTTTTCTACATCTGCCATAATTATTATGCCCATGCGTGAAATATCTGTCGCCAAAAAGCGCCAAAGCTCGAAGCTTGAAGCTGATGTCGAAGTTCGAACAGGTTTCGACGGTCACATTACGTCTATGGAGCCTTTTCTTCTTTACATAGACTTTCTTTGACTCAGCCGACACACGTGTCGGTATCTGTGCTACTCTGTATAAACTACCGATCTGCACTATAAGTGTCGGTATCAGTGCTACTTCTGTATAAACGTGTCAGTATCGGTGATTAAAACTATTTTTTTTGTCTTTAAAAAAAATACTCTGGAAAATTATGACTACAGGAAACAAGAGATTAAGCTATACAATTCAGTATAAACTAAGAAGAGTTAAACTACGCCAAAGTAAATGGAAACAGAGCAGCAGCAAGGCATTTCGGTCCACCACCTACCAAAAAAATGATACGTATTTGGCGTCTGAAGGAAGTTCAACTGAAGACTGCTAAAAAACAAAAACATAACCTTCGATGTTCAGCTCCTGCTTGGCCTAAACTTGAAAATGCCGTAAAAATGTGGTGATAGATTAAGAGGAAATCTGGGATAAGTGTTTCAACTAAAATGATAATCAATGAGGCCAAAGAATTTGCATGGGAATCGGAACTTTTCAGGGTCTGAGGGCTGGAAGCTACAGGTTCAGGAAAAGGCAAGGCTTTTCAATGCGAACACAAAACCAACTATTGCACTGAAAATGTCAGCAGAAAGAATAATGAAGAAAAAAATTACTAGCATTTCATAGGTTTGTTATAAATGCACGCAAGAAAACTTCTTTTGAGCTCGGTCAAATAGGAAATATGGATGAAATTTCCCACTTCACATTTGATGTACCATCCAACAAGACTGTGAGTATTAAAGAGTCTAAATCAAATAACCATAAAACCACAGGTCATGAAAAAACCAGATATACAGTAGTTCTAACAGGTTGTGCTGATGGCACAAAACTTCCAGCCGTTTTTCATACCCAAAAGAAAAAATTATCCGAAAGAAAAAAAAAACTTTCCAACAGGAGTAATTGTTCATATTCCTGTTTATCCGAAAGGCTGGATAGACGAAGCTGGAATGAAACTGTGGTTACAGAACATATGGGCGAGGCGACCTGGTGGACTCTTAAGAAAACCCTCTCTTTTGATTTTGGATCAGTTTAGCGCCCATAGAACTGAAACCATAAAGAATAAAGCAAGAGGAGAATTAAAAACCCAGATAGCTGTCATTCCTGGTGGACTGACTAGCCAATTGCAGCCTTTAGATGTATCGGTGAATAAGCCATTTAAGGAAAAAGTGCGAGAACGGTGGAACAAGTGGATAGGAGAGCCACATCATGCCCTCACACCGCAGGAATGAATGAAGCGGCTCTCTATTTCACAAGTGTGCGAGTGGGTAAAAAGATCTTTGGGAGGACGTAAAGGCTTGAAGTAATTGTTAAGTCCTTTAAGAAGTGCGGAATCAGTAATGTTCTTGATGGAACTGAAGACGACGTATTATTCAAAGAAGGTCATACTAGCGACAACAGAAACAGTAGTGATGACGATATTCTTGTTTCTGATGATGATGATAGTGAAAAGGATTTTTGTGGTTTTGAAAGTGATTAAAGTCTAATTTCATGATAGGCAACATTTTCCTTGAATCTGTGTTTTTTGTTGTTTCTGCTTTATTTTGTGTTATGTTTGATTGCTTGTCGTTCAGTCATTTATTCATTATTGAAATTTACATATCATGTTCAATATAGATTGCCGTTTGTTAATTTTCCTTAGTAGAATGTTTGGTAATTGCATTCAATGATTGTTTATTTGGCTTTTATGAAACATGAGATCTAAAAGAAACCACATTTTAAGTTATTGTGGTAACGCGCTTTCGCGCGGATTATTGAAACTTGTTTCCTTGTGTGTGGCCTTCTAAATAAGGGTGTGTCTTATATGCCGCCAGATACAGTATGTCAAATATAAAATGTATCATCTGTAAAGTGTTAACCTACAACATGAAGCATATTCCTGGTGGGAAAAAATATTCCAGAGCTTAGAGCTTCAGTGAATTCCAGCTGTATTTTTAAATCTTTATTTTTTTCCTGTATTTTGGCCTTACTACATTAGTTCACATTCATAAAAAGAATATATATCTTCCTGCATAACCTACTGTAAAAGTTTTAACAATATTGACTAGACACAAATACAAAAAACTTCACCAACACGAATTCGCTTAAGGCAAATACTTGGTTAACATTAAAAAATTTGGGGCCTGACAGTAAAGCATATGTTCTTATAAGGAAGCTTTATTGATTAACACAAATTTCGGTTAGCAAGAACTAAGAATTGTTTTTAAGTACGTTTCATCATTAGATTTTATCATTCAACATGAACTTCAAAAGTATTTATATCAGAAGTGTATATATCTTCTTACATAAGCTACTGTAAAAGTGTTAACAATATTGATTATAAACAAATAGAATAAACCCCACTAACACGAATTTGCTTAAAGCAAATACTTGGTTAACATGAAAATATTTCGGTCCTGGCAGTGATGTACATTATCTTGCTTGAATAAATAACAAACATATTAAAATTCTGCATACATCTTTTTATCACGCAGTATTTTATTTTAAGTATTGATCACTTAGGTTTTAGAAATAGTAAATTAAAATTTTTGAAATTTGCTAAATAATGCTACATTAGTAATTACACAGTTTCATTTACTTATCAATGGTTTTTATTATTATGTATTTTTAGATAAGCAGATTATTTATTTCTTTAAGAATTACTGAGTGTTCAAAATTGGCACTATTCCTTGTTAGACTATTTTTTTTTAATTTAAAATATTATTTCATTTATAAAACACTGCCAACAATAAAAAAGCTTCTTTCATTTTAAATTTTCCAGTTTTTATTTTAAAACACTACAAATAAAGTACTTGATCAAATTTCACATCAGTATTTAATTATGAATTTCACAACAATGTTTATGATAATGAATTTCACAACAGTAAGTAATACTAAAGAGAAACTGTACAACAATAAAGAATTAAAGAAGCCAAATTTGAACATTTCCATGTTAACCATAATTTCATCAATCCCACTGGTTTCCATATGTGGATTTTTAAAGGTTATGTATGGGACAGTACGAAATGAACAGATGTCAGTGAAGCATTTCATATAACCAATTAGATTCTTATTTAATTAAGATTACGTAGCAGCAGCTGCATGCTAAAAGGCAAACATTTTCAGAAATTTTAAATGATATCAGCAATTTAATGCATCCACTTAATATCAATTTGCTGACCAAAATTTTTCTCATTTTTTGGCAAGCTGTATAATTTCCAGAAAAATTTCTAATTTTTCGAATAATTGTTATTTTTTTCCCTTGGGATTTTTTTCTTCAACCAAATTATAAATATTTTGGTGATAATTTTTATGCTTTGAATTTTTTCCTAAATCATCATTTGGTGATATCTGAATCTAGTCCCGGTAAGAGAAACTACCAGAATTTCAATGCCATGGGTGTCTACATAGAAAAACATGTGTATATATTTTCAAGGTTTTGTTCACTCAACTTATTATTTACTGTTTGTCAGTACACAAGCATCTGCAGCATCTCCCAGGTGCACACTTTTATATGATTTGAGACATGATAGTCAACGCACAGATGTGGGTTATCTGAAATCTGTAAAATTTAGAGCAGTGAAATAAATGTGTATTACAGTAAGAAAAAATTTAGCAATTAGGAAACTGGTACTATTTCCAGGATGAGCTAATTTCAAACAGAATTGTCTAATGAAATGGTTAAGTTTTCATCTTTTGCCACATTATAAACAATCATAAAAATAGCCACAGATATTGAAAATTTTTTCAGTTATTTGTATGATAAAGAGAATATCGAAAATTATTATTAAAATATCTTTTAGTGCACTTTTAATAGCATTATGTAGAAAATATAAAAATGCATTTCTGTATAATATTCCATTATTATGCAATAACTTACCAAAAAATGCAACAACAATCCATCCACCAATAAATGCAACAAAAAGAAAAAGGCAAAAGATATCTGTACAGCTCCTAAGTGAAAATAAATTCAACATAAATATGTATAACAGGGTGGGGGAAGGAAAGAAAGCACGAGTTTAAAAAAAAAAACTGTAATAACTGATTTACATTAAGCTAATAACTGATATATAGCAAAATTGAAATTCTGATATGTGTTTGAGAGGAAAATAAAATGGAATTAGTCTTCTTATTTCTAAAACTATGTGAAGTACATGCATATTAAGTGCTACCAAAAACTTTGGCTAGCACTAAGATAACTTCAGATGCAGTCTGAAAACTGAAGATTTTTGTTCTTACCTTCAGTTTTTTAATAGAAATTTCTTGAAGATAACTGCTCCACTCTATGGCCTTTTGCAGCTATATACAATTCTTGACAAATTTTGACTGATATGAATTGTTATCATGAGTAATGAATTCGGCAATTACAAAGGTGACCTAACTTCCTCCAAACAAATTTCTTCCTCTAATTCTTATCATCAGTCAGCTTTCAGTATTGCATTCACAAAAAGGTAAATATTTTATTCCAGATATATATTGCTTATTTTTTTTTTTTTAAATTTTATTGGCTTATTAGTCTTATTTGGAATTCTTACTGCACTACGATTTTGAAAATGGCTGTTGCCTTTCACACATTGGCTTAACAATGTCCCACCCCCTAATGGCGGGCACTTGCCTATAATGGCATTGGCCACTACTAAGGCCAGAAGTGATGGCCATTTTACTGTGAAGGCACTTAATAGGCGGCCACCGCTACCATTCTATGAAGGGACAGACAATTTTACATCCATGCCTTCTCCGGGATTCGAACCCGGGCCCTTTGGTATTGCAGTCAGACTCCCTTAATCACTATACTGTCTGGGCAGCGCTTAACAAAAAATTAATCAATTATAAGTTTATCACCGAAAAGTTGGAAACAAGTTCACAACTTTTCTTAGAGCTGCAGATAATCAGAAGAACCAGAATTTTTCTTTTTTCTTTTTAAATGAGTAAACTACTTCACAGGAATTGATACAATGGACTTAAAAATATTAGCCCAACAGACTTAGCTATTTTGTATAGAAAAAAAAAACTGACAATTTGTAATTGAAAAAAAATTTATCTATGCACATATTATTAAAGCTGAAATTACATGGTTTTTACTTTAAGAATAGATTCAAGCAGCAAAATACTGCATTCCTGGAGAAGCTTTAGTGCAGTTTCTTCGACTGCAAGAAAGTCCCTCAAGCACATATCTTAAAACTCAGTTTAAGGCACAAAATATCATGCTCTGTCCAAGAAAGGCATAGAAATTGAGAATGCAATAAATGAACACATACAAAAATGATAACATTGTTTTTTAATCTTAAGAAATTACTTGAACATGGTTGCCAGAGTTTTGTACATTCTGAAAGCCTGGCAGCTTCTACTAGTGTGGTTGTACTAATATACAAGTACCATAAAAAATATTTTTCCTCATTTTTAAGGCAAACAAAAATAAGTGTATTTACATATTTATGTACAGTTAATACATACATATAAAACCTAATTGTAAAATTTTAAATATGACACTTTAATCAAGAATATTTTTAAAAAGATGCACGATAAAAGTATTTTCAATGCTGAAATCGAAAAAATTCTAAAATTACTAAAACTTAGATATGCAGATGGAAATAACTATACAATGGTTTGTGATTGCAAAAATATGTGAAAACATTATGTCACAAGTGATTCAAAAAATATTTTCAGAAAAAAAATGTTACCTGTGCTTCACTGGGCCTCGAAATTCTGGATCATATGTGAGACTTTCACCTGATCGTAGAAAATAGAGTTTGAATTAATAAAAACAATACTAAAATAGTCAATAAATACTAAGTACTCTAAGCATTAACTAATTTTGAGTGTATATATTGAACCTGAAGATGAAAGCCATACCATACATACTTCAGAACAGAAAACAATTAATAATATCCAGTTCTCCATTAAAAAATAAAGATCGTTACTAATTTAAGATTTTATAACTTAAAGTAGCTTCTACTGCATAACTGACATCGTTTGGTACTTAAATATTTTCAAGTTCTCTGAATGTTGGCTAGCAAGAACATTTGTCCACTTGTCAACACCTAAAGCAATTATTGCATACTTAAATAGCATAATGAATGAGATTTGCAGCTAATTCAACGTTTAGTTTTCTGGAAGGAAACTCTTTTAGGGACATGTTTAAATTACATTCATCTACAGCTCTTCAAATTTAAATTATTTGTAATCTTCCTCTTATTATAATAACTGAGTGATCTTGATAATCCTATAGAAGCATTGTTCACAACTCTGACTTCTCTCATTTTCTGTTGTGCAATATATAAAATGTAGCACTTAAATATATCTCAATCATTAGAAAACTAGTTCATTCATTAGTGTTCTAATAAATTATGTTTATTTTTACAATGAGATCAACAGTTTTCTAAGGAGTAGAGTTTATTTTTGTAATGAAAAAATAAATCTTATTAATCTTCCAATATGCTCATTTTGGTACTGGAAAAAGCTTATTTTTAAAAATGCAACATTTTAAATATCCCCATAAGAGAAAGGCCTTGGAGCTAAAACAATGACCAAGATGACCATTGTCCTTTAGGGATCACTGAATTATGAAGTAGAAGGAAATCATTTTCCTTTTGCATTAGCTACACTACCTCAAAAAGATACCAAAACGTTTTGCTAAATAGTTTGTCTTGTAACAATTGTTTAACACTGAAAAACTGCAATTAGAGATTTTTATTTTTTAATTAATAACCATATTTAGTGATTTCGTAGAAAAGTCTTGCTAATTGGAAAGTACCAAAATTTCATTTATACTCACATGGAGTTTTTTCCAATGAATTCCTTCTTGCAAACGAAAACACAACAGTAGCAAAGCAATGCAGGCCTATTAATGATATCAAACTACAAAAGACTTTAAAAATTTTGGAAATGAGACAGCTCTAGCAAAGCTAGCCACAAAATGTCACATTGATCTAAATCTCCACATTTCTGCTTCTCATCAAAAGCTCTTTTATAAAAGTGATGCTATCTGTATTTGGAACAGAAAAAAATCTGGCCTCAGCAAAAGCATAATAGACCAAAAGTTTTTTCCCCTAAAATTTTTCACAGAATAAAAATTATTCAATTTTCAACAGATTTAAGAGTAACTCAATTTTTGACTGGCCATGGTAATGTTAAGATCTATTTAAAGTGATTTGGACTTGCTTCAAGTGCTTTGTACAGCTGTGGTAGTGGTGACAAGGATGTTAAGCATATTCTTCTTGAGTACATCCATCATGTCCACCAGAGGAAAATGCTTCGGGCAACTTTGAAGCATCAGTCTGTAGCTTGGACACCAATTTTTTCTGAACTTTTTTGGACTAAAGAGACACTTTTTGCTTTATGAAATTTCATGCTCAATTTAGATTATTGAGTGAGATTGTTTTTATTTTATTACTTTTTATTTTATTTATTTTTTACTTATTATTTTTATTTATTTATTGTTTTTTTAATTCTCTCCCCATTTGCACTGCTGTTGTAGGTCTGTTTATTTTGTTAGTGCTATAATTTACATGTGTAAGCCTCATGGTATACATTGCGGAACACGAGGAATTGAAATTAGAGTTAACAAAAAACAAAAAAATGGGACTTCTAATTCAAGAGTATCAATAAACAATATTTTCAATAATTTTTTAAATACTACATCAGCATACATTGTAAATGTACACAATACACATATCTAGTACTATGTTTCTTTGTAAATGTATGCTAAAATTAACTCTCTTTGGGAAAGATGAAAAACTCTAATATTAACTAGTGTTCCTAATTATAAAATCCCAGCTAACATTTGAAAGCTTTCAAATTTGTAATTACAAAACATCTACAAACTGCATACTCTAAATTGGGGATGATGTTAAAAATGAAATTATATGACCGTTAAATATAGAAAGATATAAAACAAAGCAAATTAGCTATAATGTTGTTAAAGCATTCATAGTGTAGATGTGGAAATACTGCATTTGACACATGTTGATCCATAGTGAACAGCAAGTTAGCAGCCAAAGCAGATCAAACATTCATTTTTATTTGATTAATCTTTGGATTATGGTAACTTGGCGATTTTTTGGCGAAAATTTGGCAACCAACCCTGCTACAGCAACCTGCTAGTTTTTGTTTGCAGGCCATTTTGTTTTCACAAAGTAAAGGCTTTTTTTTTTTTTTTTACTTAACATTTTTTTCCAACAATCTGCTAGCCGAATTACGCTTATGCTAGAACTTTCACTGAACACAAGTGCTTAATCATGACGAAGATTAGGTGAGAAGCTGGGAGAAAGAGCAGAAATCGCCCACTGCTCTTGCTGCGTTTTTTAAGAATTGCACATACACGGTATCATCCATGTACACGTCGACCTATTTTCACTTAAAAAAACATCCCAGAATTGCACAAAAATGGCATTGCGCACCACTCTTCACTTTATCCATGTACACTGCTAAAGTGCTAACTACTAACCTTTACCGCTTTACCAAATGTCGCCAAACTACCTGTTGCCATATTCCAAAGATTAGCCTCTTATTTCGGTAGAAATTTTGCAGCCACACACAAATTGATATACTACACTTGCCTTTTCAAGAATATTTACATTTTGGACAGTTTTGCAGTAAAAAGAGAAGCAGCCAGCAGCAGTCTACCTATGCCAAAATGCATAGAGTAAGTGTCCTGTATTCAGGATGAAATCTTAATTCAGAATGATTTCAATAAATCTGACTGTATGATTTCAATAAATTTGAAATTGTTTCGGTTTTCAATAAATCTGACTGGATAATTAATAATGCTATAAAATGTTTATTGGCTGTTTAAATTTTAGTTCCATTTATGTCACAAGTGTTATGTAAGAATCATTATCACATAGATCAAGTCTTGAAATAGCACAATGCAGAAAAAGTTATTACTACTTAATAGAGAAGGGAAATATTTAAAGTTAAATTAAGCATTATAGAGCTACTGCTAATTTAAATTATAACTTGTATTTATATATTTTCTTATTTTACACAAACATATTCAAATATATAATACACACGCACACATATATATATATATGTCCACAGATACTTTTTTTGGGTACTATTCAGTTTCGAGTGCCATAAAAAAAATTGCAGCAAAAATGTATGCGCAAAAGCGCAAATCTAGCAAACGCGGCCATTTAACAGCACGCCAAATCTAGCGTACACGCCAATTTCAGATTGCACAAGTTTATATAGTTCTATATTTCTTAAGATGCCATTGAAATACTAGATTAATTTTTAAATCCTTTTTGATATCCTATGGATTTAACAATTTGGGAATTGCCCATGACGAAAAGTCGGCAACAGAATTTTGGGTAAAGTGCAGAATCACCCACTGCTTGGTGCGTTTTTAAGAATTGTACATACTTGGTATCCATGTGCACATCGACCTATTTTCACTTAAAAAAAATCCTAGAATTGCACAAAAATGGCATTGCGCACACCCTTGACTTTATCTGTGTACACATCAGCCTATTTTCACTTAAAAAGTAAAAGAAAATTGACAAAAATCCAATTGTTTTTATCCTTGTAAAAAGCGGCAAACAAATAAGTGAGCGATTCTGCACTTTACCGAGAATATTTTCAAAGAAAAGGCATCATTCATTACACAAAATTAGGTTTGAACAACCAACGAGATGAAATTATGCTTTAGCGATAAGTCGGTAGCAAAATAGCGATGCAGGCATCCATTCAGTTATCTTTAGCAATTTTTATATAAATCATAATAATGATCTGAAATAGTTATTTACTCTTATGCTTCCATTCAGTCTTTAGCTTTTTCATATAAATTATAATAAAAAAGTATTATATTAAATTAACCTTTCATCTAAATTAAAACACAAATCTTAAATAGTTATTTACTATTATAGTACTTCCTTTCTTGCAGCAATTATTAGGGTTGCCGCAAATATTTTTGGCAGTATTGGCATAAACAATAGTTTGGCGATTTTATTTTACGGCCCTCAAAACCGAATAGTACCCTTTTTTTGGTACCACCAAGTGCAATAAAAAAAAGGAAAGTGCACAACTAGATGTTATAGAAGACCTATATACCGGTTAATTGTTTTTTGAGTTATGAAAGATACATACATACACATATATAGATATCACAAAGAAATCAAGTATACAATCTGTTTTGGAAAAAAAAAAAAAAAAAAAAAGGCCTTTATTCTGTTCATACATACAGATGTCACATAAAAAATGGTTACAATGTATTCAGAAATAGTCAAAATGAATATTTCCATTTGAAATCTGATAACTGAAATTTTTCATGATTACACTATTTTATTTACTTAATACAAGGAACCAAAAAAAAAAATATTAAGATCTGGTACTTTTTCAATATCCCCATCTTCACCAAAAAATCAGAAACTCACTGGCAACTAAATTTTTGCTAAGCAAATGCATGAAAAGGCAACAATCACAAAAATGATGGCAATATTTAAAATGGAAGTGGTTTGAAATGAAGATTTCAAGCCACTTCCATTTTAAATATTGGGGGAACACTGTCACAATGATACTGGATGATGAGTAACTGGAAAGCAAGAATTACTATTGTATAAATGCATTATTTATATTAATTAACTTAATAAATACCAAAAGCTTTTCCAAATATGATGCCTGTTTTTCATTTAACATTTAATAACATAGTATCATCTTAAACATTGTAATAATTTCTTCTTTACTAAAAATTCTGCATCAAGAAGAAATTTAATGCCTCTTATTTTAACATGCAGTTTATACATTATTCTAACTATAGTAACTACAGGTTAAAGCACTGCAAAGTCTAGGATATATAAAGTGTTTTAAGGTTGGAGGGAGGTAGGGGAGCATGGAATTTGATTTTGTTTGTCTTGTTACAACTCAAAAACAGAAATAAACTAATTATAATGTAAAACATATTCACACACACACAAAAAAAGGATAAAATAAAAATTTCACAGTCAAAATTTTAATTGTTTATATCACATTTTTCTAACTGGCAAGATAAATATGCACATTCAAAACAACAAATCTGAAGTTTTGACTGTATGCAACTATAAAAATTTTTAAATTCTGTATACTTCATCATGCAAAAAAAATCCAGAAGTTACTGTATAAAAATATGGATGTCATCAGAAAGAAATTTAATTACAAATGACTAATTGTTTAAATAGGTGACTTTAAAAATACAGTATTTAAATCATTACATATTTGATTAAGTACTTTACTTAATATGATATAAAAACCACTGTAAAGAATGCAGTACATTTGGAATTTATACACTGGTATGATCCAGATACGTTAATAATACTTAAGTTTATTCTAAAATTTTATACATCAGTATAAATTACATTTAAGAACACACTATGCTTTTGTAACAATTTTTATTAAAATGTCATCAAATAACTGTGAGGAAAATTACAAATTAATCAGCAAAAGAAAAGTATCATTCATTCATTCAATGATAATAATATACTATTATTACAGAACGGTTAATAATACTTACATACATAAATTTCTCAACATACAAAATAACAAAAAACAATGTAGTTTTTTAAACTACTCGATAGAAACTTCTTTAATATACTAGGTGAGCCTCAGTGAAAGTTTTTTCCTCCGGCTTTTGGATTTTACTGAACTTGAAATCATGAAATATGTCTTTACAATCTGACCAATTAGTCTATTTTATACATATGAATATAAGAAATAAAGAATTTGACAGATCCTGTTTACTTAGAACGTTCATAATATTTACATTTAGTCATAATATTATGTAATATTATTAAATTTAGTCATGATATTAATTAGTTCATTACAAAATTTCAAAACTTTGGACATCATTTACAAAGACCCATTAAAATATAAAAATGCTTCTTTTAAACATGTAGCTTTCGGAACCATATAATTTAATAATTTGTGCATTATTTTTAAAAAAAAATTAACAAAAGAGGGGTTAGAAATGGCATGGTTATAATACACAGCATTAAAATAATACTTTTTAAATTATTTAAAATAATTATTTTTTAATTGGAAACGAGAAAATTATATTATGTATACCACTCAAAATAAGAAAAATGAAACACTTTTAAAATAAAAATTACAGTATTTATCCCGAATGGCAAACTTTACTAATTGTATAATATATGCATCAAATTTGCGTACTGAAATTTATATACAGATTTTAATACCGAAGCAGGAAGATTTAAGAGCCCAGAATTATATGAAATGAATGAATAACTATATGCAGCCTGAAAACATATTATAAGGGCAAAATACACACCAAATTATCAAATTTAACTTACCATACTTTCCCGATGACATAGCAGTAACAGGTGTTTCGCTCGACTTCATTTCCGAATTCGAAACTAGTTATATCTCGAATGCTAAGCTATTAAAACCAAATAAAGCAACTTTTTCATTACGATTTTTAACATTACACAAAAGCATACATAAGACAGTAACTGAAAATAATAATAAATACTAAAATATTTCGTTCTTCGTGCTACTATAACATTTAAAATACTAAATTGAAATCTGTGTAAATACAACGGTTAATTCAATCTCACACAATCACAATGCATAAAATTGACCAAAAAAACACAAATGGAAATCTAACCATATACTATGTTCCTCGAAAAAAATATGCTGCAATCATGTCGTACGGTCTTCAGTTGTCAAATGACAAAACTAAAAATTTGATTGGCAGATGCAAAATATTAGCCGATGAAAAAAAATATACATTAAAGTTGAACTCTCGCCAAGGCGCTATCAAAATACCAAGAAACTTCTTGCCTCCAAAATGAAAGATGACGTCATTAAACGATTAGTTGCATTTTGTAAGTATTTGTTATAAAATTAAATAATTTAATTTTTGTAAATTTTGGTCTTGGAAATGCAAACTTTAAGCAAAAAAACAGCTTATTTCTGATTTAAAAATTTTGGGAGTATTTAATACATAGTATTAAAAAAAAAAATTGAACTCACTAATTAAACTAATGGTGCAGTTTTCTTTTAACGTTACCAACAATACTAATTAGGATTTTTATAGATATCATTGACCTAATATTTAGCTAATCCATATGTTTGCAAACTATGCAAAAAGACTGAATTGTGTTGACAATACATTTCATTTTTTGCTTTAACTCAGCTCTGTAAAAATACTCCAAACCTTACAAATAACCGTACAGATATCAAATGAAAGAATCGCAAAGCATGGAATATCCAGGAGTTGGTTAGTGTCGACTGAACGTTCTTTCACGTACTGCAAAAATGATGTTTGAAATTCAAATTCCAGAAATCGCAATATCCAAAGATTTGTAATTCTTCAAAAAGTCTCTTCATCCGTAAATATCGCCTGCTATGCTGCAAAATAACTATCAAATGGAAGCCTGAGGGGTTTTCGCGTGCTGTGATATTCCCACAACAGCGCTCAATACCAGCAGAAAATCAAGACTGCTACATTCGCCTCTTTGAACATCATTTCCTGGAAAAACAATAGAAAGAAACTACAGACTTTCCAGAAATGTATTATGAGGCAAATAACTCACTCAGGTACATTAGAAATCATAGGAACCTAGGATCCATGAGGAATTAAATTTGTCCAATTCGGAATAAATTATTTATTAACACCTGAAAAGAAAATTCTTTGAAAGTCGGAGGAAAATTAATAACTCTGAAACTAAGATGTGTAATTCAGATTATAATAATCCGAGCAACATTAAACGATCTATATCTATACGTTTGTTTATTTCCTCTGTAAATATATTTTGATACTTGTTTACTTCTGTACTTTTATGCTAGTTTCATCTATTATCATCTACTTGTTTTGTTCTGCACCCGTTCGATAACTCAGTCAGAATTATTATTGCCTCTGTAGTTTCACATGATTTTTCTTTTCACAAATGCTTATACTAAGTTAAGCAACCATTCAAAATTTTAAGTGCTTTCGATTTGCTGTAGATTCTTGAAGCCAGGCAGCGGATGTCTGACCAACACCGACTCTGGTGTTGTATTTTATATACGTTGGGTATGTGCTCAGTGATGATTACAAGATGTACACAAACATCGTTTATTCTACATTGCTCATCTACCATTCTATAGACTGTGAGTAATTTGGACTTGAAGTTCTAGTTTCAAAATTCCATCTTCTTGCAAAATCTTTATATTTCCTGCAATTATATTGTGGACCATTATCCGAATATACTATTTTCGGAATACCATGTCTTGCAAAAATTGATTTCAATTGCTTTATGACTGCTACATTTGACAAATCTTCCAAATGTCCAATTTCAACATATTTGCTAAAATAATCAATTACTATTAGATAATCCCTTCCTTGAAAGTAAAAGAGGATCTGTTCCCAATACTTCCCATGGACCATTAGGTATTTCTTTAGATATGATTGTTTCTTTAGTATTAGCTTTTTGTAAACTTAAACATGTTTGACAATTCAGAACCAAATCTTCAATTTCTTTTGACATTCCTGGCCAATAAAATATTTCTCTTGTTTTGATCTTGCATTTTACTACTCCTAAATAACCATAATGAATTCTGCTTAACATATCTTTTCGTAAACTTCTTGGTACAACAACACAGGAATTTTTAAATATTAATCCGTTTCTGTTAGTTCTTCTCTAAAGTTAAAATATGGTTTTGCCAGTTCTGGAACCATACATTTTTCATCTGGCCATCCAGTTTTAATTAATTTTCTTAAAACTTGTAGTTCTTCATCTTTTTCTGTTTCCAGTTGAAAAACTTGCCATTTTACCATTAGACATTGGTATACATTCTACAACCAATCCAACATGAGCTTCTATGTCTCCTTCAAAGAAATCAGATCCTTTATCAGTGAATGATCTTGATAATGCATCCGCTATAAAAAGTTCTTTTCCTGGTTTATATTTTATCTCAAACTGATATGGCTGTAATCTTATACGCATTCTTTGTAGTCTTACAAGACATTTATTCAATGGTTTTTTTGAAAATTGATTCCAGTGGTTTATGGTCACTTTCCACAGCAAATACAGGTGAAATTTTTCAGACGCAAATACAATAGCTAAAGTTTCCTTTTCAATTTGAGCATAATTTTCTGTGTATCTGTTAATTGCCTTTAGATGCATATACCACTGGTAAATTATTCTGCAGTAAAACTGCTCCTAGTTCTTCTTGAGATGCATCTACAGATAAAACTACTGGCATCTTTATATCATAATACTGTAAAAACTGGTTTATTTACTAAGACATCTTTTAGTCTTCTAAATGCTTTTTGATGTGTTGCATTTCCAGTTCCAGATAACTTGTTTTTTCAACAAATCTCTTAAAATATGATGTCAATTCTGATACATTAGGTATAAATCTAGAAACATATGTAATCATTACCTAGAAAGTTTCTAATTCTTTCACAGTTTTTGGTGATTTTATATCTAGAATAGCCTTAATTTTGTCTTCATCTGGTTTTAAACCATCTTTAGAAATATATGTCCCATACATTTCACTTCATTCAGCCCAAATTTACATTTATTTAAATTAAATTTAACATCCCAACAACTTCCTTAATCTTAAATCATGTTCTTTTTTATCTTTACCCCAAATTAATGTCATCTATATATATTTGAAGCTCCTTCTAAATCACTAAAAATTTCAGAAAAACTTCTGTGAAAACTTCTGGTGAGGAACTCAGTCCATATGGCAACCTCAAAAAACAATATCTACCAAACGGAGTGTTAAACGTAGTAAATTCACAACTTGAATCTGACAGTTTAATTTGCCAAAATGCTTTGTTTGCATCTAAAATACTAAAGACCTTTGCATTTGTCATTTGAGATGAAATTTGTTCAAAGGTTGGTATGTGATAATGTTCTCTCAGTATGTTTTGATTAAGGTGCTGAGGATCTAAACACACTCTTAAATTACCATCCTTTTTCCTTACTACCACTAATGAATCACGAATTCTGTTGGTTGGTTAACTTTCTTTATAATAATATATTTTTCCATTCTTGCTAATTCCTTTTTTAATGGATTTAATAAGCTAAGTGGAATTTTCCTACAGGGCTCTATTTTACCAACAGCTCCTGGTTTTAATTTAATATGATATGTATATTCAGTTAAATTCCCAGTTCCTTTAAACAAGTCTTGATGTCCTTTTAAAGATTCTGGTAACTTTTCATTGGAATCAGGATTTACTGTACAAATCCTTTGTATTAGGTTTAATTTTTGCAATGTAGGTAAACCTAAAATAGCTGGAACAGTTTTATCACATGCTACGACTTGAAATTCTACTTCATCCTTGTCCCCTTTCGATGTTTCACATAATAATTTACATTTTCCGACTACATCAATTGTAGTACCATTGTAATTATTTAAAGTGACTTTTGATTTAGTCAAACATTTATCTCTTAAATTTAATTGTTTAAATTTAGGCAATGGTAGCACATTACACTGAGCTCCAGTATCCAACTTAACAAATAAATATTTAGATATGTTTACTTTTAGTTTTTCAAACCATTCTGTTTTATTTTTAGAAAATGGATTTGTATCTTCTACTGACCCTAAAATATATTCATTACCATTATTATGTAACTCGTGCTCTAAATTATTCTGTACAACATTAACATTCTTATAAATGCACATTTTAGAAAAGTGATTTTTCTTTTTACAGTACAAGCAAATCTTATTATAAGCAGGACAGCTGTATAATTTTTGAAAAATTCCACATTTTCAAACAATTTTCACACATGAGCAATGTAGAATAAACGATGTTTGTGTACATCTTGTAATCATCACTGAGCACATACCCAATGTATATAAAATACAACACATGGCGCAGTCGAGTTTGTCGTTGATTAAAAAAGAATCTTAAAAAAGAAAGATCTTTTTTGAAGAACCATGCAGCGTGGGTAAAGATATTCTAAACAAAAACATGATGGGAAGTTGTTTACAGTGAAATCGAAACTTATATCCCTGGTAAGTGCGTTGTTTATTTTTATTGGAAGTGGCTAAAAATACGTATATATAAACTATTTAAAGTCCTAAATTAAATATGGATGGATTAAAGCCACCAAGTAATCTAAATTTTGACGGTAATTTAAGTGAAAATTGGAAGAAATGGAAACAAAAATTCCAAATTTATATGTTAGCGTCTGGTGGTATTACTAAATCACCTGAAATTAAAGCAGCTATTTTATTGCATATTATTGGTGAAGAAGCACTTGAAAAGTTTAATACTTTTAATTTAAGTGAAGAAGATAAGAAGGATGTTGACAAAGTAATTGAAGCTTTCGAAAATTTTTGCATACCGAAAGCAAACGAAAGTGTTGAGTTGATAGACATATATTTTTCTGTCGAACACAACATGTAGGTGAATCGTTTGATGATTTCTTAACCGATTTAAAGAAATTAAGTAGTAACTGTGGATTTGGAGAGAAATAAAAGATAGTTTAATAAGAGATAGACTAGTAAGTGGAATTCTAAATAAAAATCTCAAAGATAGATTATTAAGGGAAGATCAGTTAACATTGGGAGAAATGTATTAAAATGTGTAAAGCTTCTGAATTAGCAGAACTTCAGCTGAAAACTTTAACTGAAGAAAATAAAATAGAAGCTATCAAACGTAATAAATTTCGACCTTCAGAGGAAAAAGTCAGCCTTGTAAGAAAGACTATCATGTAAAACAAAAGCAACAAAGTACTAAATCTTCTTCAAACTATCAAGGAAATAAGTACAATAATCCAAAACCATGTAGAAAATGTAGAATA